CTAGAGCGGTAAGCTTTGATGTTTCAATATAATAATTTTACTTCTGCGTAACGAGAAAATACACCGACAATGAACTCAAATAAACATTCATTAGCTAAAGTTACACATAAGGTGTACCAATACAGAGAGGAAGCTATGTGACTGTATCGCTTTGAGTAGAGAAGGAAGAAGAAATTTTTATTGATAAAATTTTATATTTTAATTAATAAACTAGTAAATAAGAAATAGCTCACACACTCATGGCCCTACTACTAGGGAAACCCTGTGTCGCAGGTGCCATGGACACAAACATAGACAACCACAAATTACACACAAACTTACGAGAGAAATAAATGTAAGCCATACAAATATTTCTCCCGGTCCGGGAACTCTGCCTGGCAGATCAGCTTGATGACCGTTCGGCCACGGAGGCAGTTAAATTAAAATGAAAAAAAAAAAAAATTAAAAATTAATGAAAAAGCCGTAGGTCAGATCATGTACAGTGTATCTTATCAAAAAGCAATAATGGCTTTCGAGTATTACGAATATTGTAAAATTATGCTGTTGAGATTAATAATTACTAGCAATAGTTAAAACATGCGATAATATAATACTGTGGCGTACGCATTTAGAGGAAAAATAAAAGTTCAAAAGTTTTAACATGTGATAGTGGAAACATATCTATAGGTAGGTACTTAGATATTTTATTATTATTTTAAACGAAGGCTAGCAGATTCGTTGCGTGAATTCCCGTATACAAGTCGTGTTAAGTGTTTTCTAAAAGGGCATGAGCATAGAAAAACGTGAAAAGTGTCCCCATTTCGACGAAGGTTTTAATGAACTTCTGACAAATGCCGCCACGTCACCTTTGCCCTCGGTTATTGCACATTACAACACAAAGCAATGTTTTAGTGCTACTGCAGATTATGATTCTCTTGAATTGTTAAAAATTACAACGCCTCACTTTGAATACTTTTCTGTAAAAACGCAATAAAACTTTGTGTAATGCGGTTTGAATAACTGGAAAACATGAAACAGAAAACGCAACTGAAGCATTTTTTTATTTTTGTGCCTTAACAATAATTATGCATTAAAAGAAAATCAGAGACTGGTAACCACGGCTGTTAATTGTAGTGAAAGTTAAATTTTCGTTTTTTTTTCATGCAGAGTAACTTTATCTTGGCAGTGAAGTATTAAATATGGCACAGCTTAATAATATAAGTATCCGAACCTGGTTGAAAAGTTTTGTTTGCAATGTTTGATGTTTATATTCGTGTTCTTTTTCATTTTACACTGACGACATGGAAACGAATGTGGTTCACCGATAACATTATAGAAAACATTTCAACATATCAAGAATCTGCGAAGGAGCATGTAGAATGCACAATGGTAAATAATATGTGGTAGTAAAGAAATGCGTGAATGCTGTCAAACACGAATTAAGTGTTTGTTATTTATATTGCACTCTCTAGAAACAAAAAAACTGCGTTTATTTAGATTAAGAAAAAAGTGTTACTGTTGTAATAGAATTAGGCTAGCTAATGTTTTATTTTGGTATTGCGTACCATGTTTTGTGACAGCAGTTGGTACCGGATCTGCGGACTTAGCTCTACTAAGCCTGCTATCCGTGTCCGTGTTGACGGTGTAAGTGCCTCGCCGGCGTAACATCGATATTGGTCACTTTTCTATAGGGCATAGAAGTCAATTGCGCTTTGTTAATTATCATCTCACATCGTACCTCGCATGTAAACACTAGAATATAACTCATAATTAATTTTAAAATTTAGCCGTGATTGACACATTGCTTGATTGGTAACAAAAGATTGTTTTTTAATGTTTCGCGCACGGTACTTGCGGTAGCTGCGCCGGCATAGCGCATGAAATGTAGTATTTAGGATGTGAGTTAACGAACCAATCGGTAATTTCGCAATATGCACTGACCATGCGACCGCGCCGGTCGATTGTAACCATGCCGCTGAGCGAATCGCGATTCAAAAGCCGAGAGTGCTTTGGCGCGGTTCCTACCCGAATGGCATCGATGGTCACGCTGACGACGAAGACTATCGGGAGATCTCGCACAACTACTGATAACAATCGTGATAGCTGCTAACATCGTTTGTCACTTACAATTCGTAATAGGTAACCACTTCCGCCTTCGACGTAGTAAACATTGAAATAAGTAAATGCACTAATACAATAACTGGATATGTCACTCCTAAATCGATTTGCGCAAAACCCAACATATAAAATAAATATATATAAAAATATACATAAAAAGATAAAACCAAGAATCCAGAATTATGCCAAACAATTGGCTTATGAAGGTGAACTTTCAATTTCATAATGAGTACTCGATAAAAAAATAGCATTAACATAATCGAATGTGTTAACAGCAGAAGTGTAACGACGATCTCATTAGTAAGCCACGAATCATGCTGCCAAGGTTGCGTTGCCACGTTATTAAAAATGCAAAACTCGCGCCCGACTAGGTGTTTAACCACATAGGGCTGAATTTTTTAAACGTCAGCTACGCTTCGACAACGGCACTTAGGGTCGTATTCCAGAACTCTACTCAATGCTCAAGTCAGGATTTGAGAATGGTTTAAAGCACACGAAATCATACTCAAGTCTCTGCCATTAGGGTCGTATTTCCAGTTCTCGTGTTTCAATTGCAATCCTGACTTGAGCATTGAGTAGAGTTCTAGAATACGACCCTTAGACTGCCTACTAATTGGATCACGGTTCTTGAAGGTCGTATAAAATGATAAATAAATGCGACAGCAAATTAAAAAAATTATCAAAACAATGTCCTAAGGGCTAGTATTCATCTATTCATTAGCACAATCAGCACACATGGTTTCCCATGACGTTGCATAATTAGTCGAGGTAAATTTTGTGGCAGCAGCATGAGTAATTGTGCAGTTCCGTCAATATGCGTAGAACCGCCTTAGGTCATGGAAAAGCCTGAAGATAACATAACTATGTAACCTTTTCATGGAATGGTTATTATCGGTGGTTTTCAAGTAAACGCAAAGTTTTCTGAATCAAAGGTGGAATTAAATCTCTCGATGGCAGTAGAACATACGTTTACGAGACACATAATCGTTGTGCATAATATACCTAAATGGTAAAAAAAATATATTTTAAAAATAAAAATTATAAAATTCTGAATCAGGTTTATGTCCCTGCAATTGATAAATGCCAGTTTAAGCAAATATACTAGAATATTTAAGCAGTTAAACATGTAATCTTTCTTTGTTCATTATAATCAAATGATCCCAAAGACCACAGATCGGGAGACACTTACCACATTATATCGGTAATTGTTCTCCAATAATGAATAGTCAGTTTTCAAGCTATCTTATCACATATAACAAGGGCGATAAAACACAGTTACAAAGGCTAGACAGTTCTAAAAATATTACACAATACATTTTTGTACTATCTACTGTATATCTAAATGCATGCTTTTGCATTTAATGAATATCTGATGTTAATGGACATAGTTGTACATTAGTTCACAATTAGAAAGTGATCTCAGCAAATATTTTATAATATATTATGGCAGAACAAAAACAATGGTCTTGCATGCACTACCTACACATAGATGAGAAGTAGGTAAAGTATGCATGTTGGAATCTATTATTAAATTAGTAATTTTTTTTGTATTTCTGGAAACTTTTTAAGATAATTTTAGTTTTATGGTAAATAGGTAAACCTTTTTAGGTAATAACTTTTATAATATGCAATAATTAACTATAATATTATAAATATATAAATATTTCTGTATAGGTACTGGGAATTTAATGAATATTATTAACAATTCAATAATGATTATATTTTATAATAAGGGGCATAGTAAACTGAATTATTCTATAAATGAAGGTCTAAATTAAAATTGTAAACAAATTAGAACAAATAAACATCTATTAAGTGAGTTGTATGTGTGTTATCACATTTCTGGCAATAACACGGTCAAAGCTTCCTAGTATTGTACTATTATTTAACTCTACCATACTCTAGGTAACAACGAAGGATTTTCCACATGCTGTGTTTTATATGGGGAATGATTTAAATTAAAGTGTCACAATGTTTGGATATGTACTCCTGGAAAATGCAGACTGGATGAAATTTATACAAAATATTTTATATTGAAAAGGAAACTACATACAATAATAAAAGTTACATTAATATTCAAAATTCATTCTCCACAAAAGCTTAACAGTACTGACATCTCTAAAGACCACGTAAAATATTAATATTTAAACAATAATAATACAAATACATAATTGGTCACTAACAACTTCAACAACTCATGGTAGAGGTGGGATATCATTTCTTAAGTATTTGTTATAAAAAGAAATTGTATATAAAGATGGGTAAAACTGCAGCATTATGTGTTATTGTTTATCCAACTGGACTTAGTTAAGCAAAAAGGATTCAATCCATAAAATTATCAAAAAATGAGTTATATGTACCAAACGGTTCCCAAAGTCTAACCTCTTAGATCAGCAAAAATAATCCAGCACATAAACATAAATAAATATCTTTGGAGTTACATGACATTATAAGTTTTGAAAATAAAACAAGAATGAGAAACATTTTAAACTTCTAACTGCCATATCTCGAAAGTGACTGGATGTGCATTGGATCCTTTTTGTTTAACTATGTCCAATATACTGTATGGACCCCACAACAATAGCAAAACAAACAATTCTATCTAGGGAAAAGTTACTAGTAAATCAATAAATATATATAATTGGTTTTATGCTTATAATTGTAAAAATCAATCTTGAGAAAGTTAGTAATATAGAACCCCACAACAAAAGGTACATCCTGACATTAGACACTCGAAAACAAGCAAAACTTTATGCACTGGATTAGCTAAACATAATGACACAATATTTTCAAAAATTCTGAGCATTCTTAGCCAACAACTTTGATTGAACTAAGTTCAGTGATAAAACTGACTAATGGCATGAAATGTTTGATGAGTAAAGTCAAATTAATAATTAAGATACCTGCACGCGAGTGTAGCGACATTCCTAGGTACCACAATACAAATCTTCAAAATGTTCTTGACTTGGGCAGTCAAACTGCAAAGAAACCAAGAAGGTTGTGTGACTAACAGAGAAATAGTAGAATTTAAAATAATGGTAAATCAATATTGGTTGTCAAAAACATTTGAAGATAATATAATTACATATAATAAATAAAGTTGTGTCCACAAATTAAGTAATGATAGGATCATTAATGTTATTAACAGTTACTTTCCCATTGGCATATTTTATGATGCTACAGGTCATCTAGAATAACAACAGCTGTAGTTATAAAATTGTTAATGGTACAGAGGGAATCCTAATCTTCACAATTGCAGAAGGCAGCTATTATGTTTTGTTGTATTTCGTTGAAGCTACTTAGATAATTGGTACTTCCAAGAGAAAGTGTCAGAGTGTACCAAACAGAGTGTAGTTCAGTCACAATTAAACTAACATTGCCTAATTTTTATTCATATTTTATTACGTCAGACTAACCTCCAAGACCTATAAAAATTACAAAATTATAAGAACTTTTCATAAACTATTACAATGATAGAGCACAGTAAGAGGTTATGTGAAATAAGAAACAGGACTTCGCGTGGACAAATTTGTATCCGCGAGACATCCATAAAATACGACGCATTTTGAAAAAATTTAACATTAATTTGACATGATATCTGTCATACAGTCGGGCATATGTGGCAGAAAGGCAGCTCAGCCTGTGGCCATTTTTGAAATGCTACGTCGTGAGGCTGCCGCCGATATTGATTTGGAAATTAATGCTAAAAGATGTAAAAGTTGATTTGTGGCAGTTCGCAGCCATATTTAAAATTGTCAGTATCGAGATACGTCACAGGCGTAGGAAATCACGATGGCCGACAAAAGAATGGTTAGGTGGTACTTACTGCTAATTTTTACTCCTCCTAGAGACGGTTTCTGAGGTTGAGTTTCGAATGTCTTTCGAACGGATTTGCTGCCCTCGGCGAACGATGTGGTCCTAGGGCGTCCGCTCATTATTATAGGTATAAAATAAACGGCCTTAGAATCCTGAACTTCATAGATACTTCACATTTCTCGTTACCACCCTTGCACTCGCACTGAACTCTCTCACTTTGCCGACGAATTACAAAGTTACGGATGGAATAGTCAAAACAATATCACTATGATACAATTAAAATCAAAATAAGACTGTCTTTGAAACGTTTTACAATATCATTTTGATAATTTTTCAAAATTTACATCACTAAAAGTGAACGACAGATTTTTAGTTTCTTCATCAGACTCGCACTTGCTCTTTCATTCGGCCATTTTCGACGTTCAATCGTGCCTTCGATCACCGAGCTACCGAAGATGACGTCACAGAAATGCCAAGATTTCTGCGCAACTAGCGTCATCTGTACCAAAACCTATCGAGTTTTGTGGCTCGGTGGATAAAACAGTTCTTGTCTATGGTATTCTTTTTTAAATAAAATAAATTAATATAGCGACTGCGGCTCCATGTAAGTCGTTGGTAAATCTTTAACGATATTTTTTTTATATCTATACAATGTCTTTGTATTTAGACCAGAAAAAGTGTGTAGAAAACGTATACAGCTTTTTGAAAAAAAGGAATGATGACGATAACTCTTTTTTGTTACACACTCAAATATCTTATTAGCTTTCGTCGACTCTATGGGTCGTATTCTAGAACTCTACTAAATGCTCAAGTCCCATCAATCATACTCAAGTCCCATACTCCATACCATACTCAAATCCTGACTTGAGCATGATTCAAGGCATTACAAATCACACTCGAGTCCTTGCAATCAGGGTCGTATTTCCAGTGCATGAAATTATACTCAAGTCTGCTCAAATCCTGACTTGAGCATTTCTGAACAATGCTGAAGCAGGACTTGAGTACGATTTCAAGCATTGGAAATACTACCCTAATGGCAAAGACTTGAGTATGATTTCTAATGCTTTAAATCATAGTCAAGTCCTGATTTGAGAAATCATACTTAAGTCCTTGTCATTAGAGTCGTATTTCTAGTACTTGAAATCATACTCAAGTGCTGACTTGAGCATTGAGTAGAGTTCTGGAATGTGATTTAAAGCACAAGAAATGATATTCAAGTCCTTGCCATTAGCGTCGTGTTTCCAGTGCTTGAAATCATACTCAAGTCCTGACTTGAGCATTGAGTAGAGTTCTAGAATACGACCCTACGTTATGTAAAGGTTTTCTTTAAATTCACCAACGCTTAATACATTCGGTTATTACAACAGTTTACACAGTTTCAGTTTTTCTACAAAATTTATAAAAAACAAGCCTCCCCTTGAGGAAAACCATGTTCAGCAGTGGGACGGGTATGTGTTAATGACCATGCTAGGCTGACTGATCGTTTGAGAAGCCATCGTTATTGCAGTTGGCGGCGCGGTCGGTGTTGCAATGACGTCGGCGTGCGTGGCGTCAGTTATCTTTTTATCAACAACAAGAGGCGCAAAGACAGAGGGCAGATTATGAGTGAAGCGAGAGGTGCGAGGCGTTGCGCAGTTGTGTATACGCCGCGTCGAAGGCGAGCGGTGCGCCCGCGGTTGTCTCTCTTAGTACGCTTAAAAATGAATAGATAATTGTATTATCAGCCTCTAGTGATATCGTGTACATAAAAATGGAATATTATACTTCGGACAGCTGCGATAGCGACAGCAGAGACCAAAAAACTCTCGACTTATCCAACCACATGTTAGAAACGAACGAATTATCGACAGACTTGAGAGCCGTTGTTGACGAGAAAGATTGCGCGGAAAATTACGAAATTATTCTGCTTTTCAACAACCGCATACAAACGCTTCCAGAGACCATAAACAGGTTCACCAATTTAAAGATACTGGACGTCAGTAACAATAGGCTCACAGTGCTTCCCGATCTGTTAAAATTCTGTCCCCTTACGTCACTAATAGCGAAACATAATCAACTTACTAATGAGTCGTTGCCCAAGAGTTTTACCTTCTCGAGAAATACCATAAGAGAATTAAATCTTAGCGGGAACCAGTTAAACTTTTTCCCTGAACAAGTTTTAGAGATTAAATCCCTTAGATACCTTTATTTAGGCGGCAATCACATTGCGAAGATACCAAAGGATATATGGAAATTAAGCAGGTTTGTGATCAAAAGAGTTTTACAATTAAAATATGTATATAAAATTGATAATGTTACCAATTGCCGGAGAATATTATTATAAAGTTTATTCTTCCTTATTGGTGCCGTAAGTCATTGTTTAGAATAGAATCCTACGCATCATTGGGCTTCTCTCCTAAACATTATTCATTGTTCTCTTTGTCATGTCTAATGTTTATAATATTCGTAAAGTTTCATAACTTATGATTATGAGTGTCGGTATGCAGTAAACGTATAACATTGCTACAATTTTCCGCAACATTGTTCCCTACTAACATATAGACCTTTAACCCTTTTATTTTGTATTTGCAACAACAGATGCAGATTATGAGATATTTTTTTTAAATATGACAATTTACATAAACTTGCAACGCATATAATTGAAATATTTTCTTTCGTACACCTTTCAACCGGGAGCGAAAATTTGCTAGACACAAAAAATAATTTACAAAGGTATGTACGCATGTAGTATTTAATGTAAGTTATTGAGACTCTTACATTGCCGGCACATAGATACGTCGCTATCATGTTATGAAGCTTATTATAAAATGGAGCATTTCCAAACTGCTAATCGTTGCCTTTTATAAAAGTACACAGAGTCATATCAATTGGCAAGTTTAACGTCGTCGTGTCAGTGATAAATACTTACTACGTATTTATCAAGTAACAGTGTTGTAAAATGGTACGACTAAAAGTTAATAAGTATTTCCATAGATAAAGAAACACGGTTAATTTTATTAAACATCAACAACGAGATCGCTTTTATGTACATATAACGGTATTTGCGCTTTACTTTTCTTTATTATTCTTTAAATTTATTCAAGTATTTATATAAAATATACCATGAATTCTCCAATCATATAACTCCTATAAGTCCAACTTGGCTTAAGTGGATTGACATTTTACAGCACATTTTTAACCGACTTTAAAAAAGGAGGAGGTTCTTAATTCGTCTGTATGTTTTTTTTTGTATGTATGTTACGCGATAACTCCGGTATATGTAAACCGATTTTCGTGATTCTTTTTTTGTTAGAAAGGGGGTACTTTCATAGTGGTCCCATTTCATTTTGAAGAAAATCATCCACCTCGAAGGGTGGCTGTTCACGCATGAAGATTCATTTTTATAAATAGCGCCTAACTTTAATTTAGGAGCAATTACTTTAATGGTTGATTTTGCTATTTCTCCAATTCAAGGCGTTTTTCTCTCGATATACTTTGAGTTGTGAGAACCGATTTGTATTATCTCCAGTGCCAAGTCCTGTATAGCGGCGAACTAGGGGATATTTCAATAAAACTTAGCAAATAGACGTAATTCCACGTACTTTTGAGGTCGGTTTTTTTAGTACTCTGTACTGATTATTACAGTGACCTACTTAACAAGGTAAACATTCGATAGTTGATGAATGTTACATGTTGTTACACGATAAATTATTTTGTCGTAGTTATTCCGTCAATATATAATTGTAATGCATAATCGAGATTTCGTATGCAAAAGTAAATGAACAGAGTACCGATACTATTTTAACATAAAAGGGGCATTCATTATCCTACATTGCAGTCCGACTTCCACCACCACACTTCTCCCCTTTTTGTCATAGCGGTCATAACTAAAACGGCCCATTCACTACCTGCATGATAGTCCGCCGCTCAGGCAGGAGACTGCTCACACACTATCCTGCGTAGGACCATGTATGGAATCTCGCAGGACCCGTTGCAGGATGGCTTGCACGCTGCGACTACATTCATAATCCTGCATTACGCGGCGGACGGCAAGGCGGGCTGTCATGCAGGATAATTTAATGACCCCTTTAAAGCATTTTAATTTTGGTAATTTTCGAGATGTTGGCACCTAAAGTTTTTTTTTTTAATGTCAATTACTTGGATGTTGCACAGTAAAACTGGAACTGAGTAAAATAATATAAAAAACCGCTAATAGGAGGTTGTAGAACTCGTTTCCCTGTTTCCAGATGTGTTAATTACCTACTCAATTTCGCTGCAAATTTTGTTTATTACGTTAATATTAATTAATACTTATAATATATATAACATATAATACAGGGTAGACTTATTGATGCGGCATCGGCTTGATGCGATTGTATTTAACCACACTTGTCGCATTAAGCCGAAAACACTTCCTGTCTTTATAAATTAGTACCTACTCATACTCAAACACAGTCGTTGTTAATAATTCTTTTAGACATCTTAGTACCCAACTTTTGTAACATTTTTCATCAATTCAAGCAAGATATGTATAAAATTACTCGCCCTTCACAAGTGCTCATGAACTAGTAATGCTCACCTGCAAGATATACGTTTATTACTTTATATACTAATGATCATATCAAACATCAGTGCGTCAATACATTAATCTTTTTACTTTAGCAATCGATTGTTGCAAATATTGTAAAGTCCATTATGTTACTCCTGCAACTAATACAATTTATATGTAGGTACCTTTAACCATTACCAATATTTTTTATTCAATTAAAGTGTTACAGAAATAATACAAGGTTCAGTTCGCATATTTTTCAACAACTGACAAAGTTTACACTTATCAAAGTATTCCTCATTATAACGCAAGTATAATTGGTACACGTAATATAATAATATATTTCATATTCATATATGTTGAGTGTGTGCGTTATTATTATTATTATTATTATATTCCGGAATATACATTAAATAAATATTAGACAACACACATATGAGGGGCACTCAGAAAGTTTTGCGAAACTAAAAAATAGTTTCATGAGTATAAATGTTTATTAAATATTTTCAAACAACTCTCTAGCACACCACTGCCTACGCAGTTTGAACAGAACAGAACCAATTTTCGAAATACTTTTTCCAATCCGCCGCAGACACCAGTTTTACGGCCTCTCCTGCTGCTACTACATCTGCTGCTAGTACTACATCTTCTGGCGATGAAAACTGTATCCCTTTGAGTTGATTATTTATTTTAGGAAATAGAAAGAAGTCACTCGGTCCCAAAGACTGTAAGGACTGTAACCCAAAAGTTTAATCAGTATCTGTCCAAGAAATTCTTCGTTTTGAGCGCCAAGTGCAAGTTTTCAAATATGTAAAAATGTTACAATTGTTCCACGTGGAACGGATTACATGGAACCACTGGGAATAAACGAATTTAACTATCGCGTTTGCGTTAAGATTTGAATTTGAACCTAAATAAAAATCTTAACCAAACGCGGTAGTTAAGTTTAAATGATTAGGTACAAATTTACACTCAGGCCTATGGTGAAGCAGTAACTCGCGGAACTCCGTGTTTGGTCGTTTATGTTACCTACTCACAGCAGACAAACACTTCCGGAAAACATTAGATAGTAGTACTATTCGGCTTTGATGCTACTTTGATTTTGTAAGGAAATTGACTGTTTTTATTTTGTAAAAATAAAACTAGCTTTCTAAATTTTTTTATGCGCTTACCTCAATCGTTTCATTTTGGTAGGAGTTGGTTTGTTTTGAAACAGCCAAACCGTCGTCGACGGCGATAGCGCTTCGTTTCTGGACCGTATTGACAAATCTAAGATTCTTAATCTATAATAATATTGTTAACACACCGAGACGAGCCTGCTTCAAACTTAGCAATCATGTCGTGGCACCATTCACCGCGGGCGTGGTTCTGAGCATCTTCATCCTCAGGTGATGATGCTCGAATAAAATATCGTGAACTTCCCGATTCGATCTGCAATATGTGCTGAATCCCTTCATATGCGGTTCGCCTATTTCAAAAGCACGCTAAGCGCGTTTCTTTCCGTAACAGCCGTCAAAGGGCGACCATTTCTTTCTTCTTCAACCCTCAAAGTTGTTCGTTTGAGCAAACTATGCTAGGCGCTATGCAAACTAAGATCTTATATAGTTTGGGTTTTTAACGACTTTTTGTCGTAAAACTAATGCTTACATAATATGTTTTCAGTTTACAGATCCTTTCTCTAGGAGGTAACCAAATCACGGAAATTCCAGAATCAGTAGGGCGATTGACGACCCTCCAAGCCCTCGTTCTAAGCGACAATTTGATAGAACAACTACCTTCGAGTGTTGCAAACTTAAACCAGTTACGTTCCTTGTTGCTACACAAAAACAGACTAAAGACTTTGCCTACAGCGATCATAAAATTGAGATGTTTGACTGAGGTTAATATTCTATTTAGTTGTTTATTACATAAGTAAGTTTCAATAGTTTACTACGGTAAAGGCTCATTATAGTACCCACAATGATACATAATTTTTTCCTAGGAACTAACTTTTCGTTTTTACTTCCAGAATCCCTAAAGTGCAGTGCCTATTGAATCGCTTTAGGTATTATAATTTATAGATTAGATATGCATAATTATACTTTATAAGATAATTATACATAAACGAGATAATTATTATTATCTGTCACAACAAAAAGAAAAATACATATTTTCAACCGAAATAATATCTTACCTACAGTGTTATCTTTTTTTTTCCGTTATTGTCATACTAAAACCGAATTAAATTAATGTATGTGTTACTTACCTAACGCAGAGTTGGAAATAAATATCACTTCAATGTACATACAACACAAATCCTCTAAATGACACACTAAAAGTGAACACTGAACAGGGTTTATTAAAGTTTATAAAAAGAACAGACTTATGTACATACCTACCATAATGATTGCGCAATAATTGACCTTAATTATGCAACCATTTATGATACAAAACACGTCCATGTATCTTGGTACAGCAATGATGCCTTATTGGTTGACAATACGAAATGATGAGTCAGATGAATGGTCTGGACTGGACCTCGTGACTTGGATGGTTCAATAAAGTATCATATATTAGATAACTATAGTGCCGAGTACTCACGTAACAGATGAGAAACAGACAATTATTCGTCTGCTCTATAATAGTAATATGTTACTCTAATTAATGAAACAATGTAAGTTTATGAATTTTTTGGGGGTGGCTTCCCGCGAGGATGCGTTTTATTTATTGTAAAAAGATAATAATATACTACGTTAGATGTGGTAGGGGTGTGATTGTCAGAGGCCACTTTGTTAAAATTTAAATATTTGTCCGATAAAAGCGTGGCCAGAAATTCAAAATGCTCACTGAGATTATTTGATAATTGGGGCAATTTAACATCTTTTATGTTATATACGCACAGGATGAAGCAGTTTTGCTCTGTCGCGAGTACATACCTGCCGTTCACTAACTAAAACGCGGCTAAGTGGCAAATGGTGAAATATCCATTTTAAATAGCAAAAAATAGATCACATTTTTTAAAAATGCGGCTAAAATTAGTTACGGTTTGACTTATCGGAACTTACCCTAACGACACATAGCTGAAATATCATTAAACAATTTAAATATTCTAAAATTGGGTTATGGTTTTTTTATGATAACTCAAAAAAATATTTCGTCACTTAGCCGAGTTTTAAAATTTATAACGTGTTGAGGAGTCAGTATTAACTTGTCAAATCGATCGTTTATTCACTTCTTAGTATTAACGAAAACTTGCTATTATCGTTATTGTCGTGGGATAACGGGAAAACTCAACCATGGGAAAAGAAAATAACATACAATATTTTAGCTAAATTATCTGTATCGATTTCAGTTAAGTTTGCGTGATAATCCTCTAGTTGTGAGATTCGTACGTGATATGACGCTGCAGCCTCCATCCCTATTGGAACTAGCGGGACGGACCATTAAGCTTCACGAGATCTCGATACAACCGGGAGACATACCTCATACTTTAATGAAATATCTCGGAGCTGCACAGTGCTGCGTAAATCCTAAATGCAAAGGTATTATTATTCGGACATTTATAACAATAATGTTTGTCCGAAGTATGAAGATAACTAATTATTACTTTTTAGGGTCACAAAGTTCACAAGATAGACTAACCAAGAGCACACGGCGTATTTTATACGCGCCGACGCGACGGCGCGCGTTTCTCGAATGCACGTTTACGGCGCCGTAAACGCGCGTCATCTGCGCATATACGCGTTGCAGACGCGCTGTAGTGACTTTTCATGTACTTGCTTCATTTAAAAAATTAACTGAAATTAACAAACAAAACTAAAATTAAAACTATCTCTTATCAAAATGCGCGATACATACGCGCGACTACAGAGCGACGCATATAAAATACGCCGTGTGCTGCTCTTAATGTACTCTCAATTTGAGTATTGAGAAATCTAACCATTGTACTTTTAAATAAAATAGAATAACCTTTTAAACTTTGACGAAAAACAATCCAATAACAGATTAAAATTGGAATGTCATTCTTACTTACTACTGTACAATATCATTGATGTTATTTTGTTTAATATTCGAAATAATTATTATTTGCAGGCGTTTTCTTCGACAATCGCGTGGAACACATAAAATTTGTGGACTTTTGTGGAAAATACCGCATACCGCTGCTACAGTATCTGTGCAGCTCTAAATGCATCATTGGCAGCTGGGAGAGTAGGGAGGAGAACAACAACCCACATCCACAGATGATGCGCAAAGTCCTCCTAGGATAGCCCAGTGCAATATGCCAATATTACAGTTGGGTAAACTAGCATGCTATGATATCACATTGTTATCACTTTTTACATAAATTTTATAACTATGTTTTGTAATAATTTTATTTTTACACTGGGACCATTTATTAAGGAACTATTTGTATAATATAGCTCTTGTGATATTTTACATACTTACATTATAAGTCAGTCATTGCATAAAGAAATAAAACTAATAAGTTGTTTTGATGCCTATATTTTAATGCTAGTTAATACTTCATTTATTCAATTGTTTTCTTGCAAAAACTTCATTCTTTCTTCTTTGCCTCTGAGTATGGCAGCTTTGAATAGCTTGCAGTATAGTTCTATGGCAACTGGCGTGTCGTCATTACCAGGCACAGGGTAAGTAATTAAATTAGGAGTGCAGTTAGTGTCAACAATACCAATAGTAGGTATGAGTAACTTTGCACTGTCTCTTACAGCTGTATGCTGGTTCAAAATATTATTTTGTGTGTTCAAAAAAATGCATAAATCAGGCAACCTAGTGACTGCACCAAATTGATGATTAGCATTTGTAAAGATCCCACCACGCCAGAATCTTGTATGTGCATATTCTCCACACTCTAAAGCAGTTTTTTCAACTAAATGAGCATTCAAAGCATTTCTGTTAAAGAAACATATGATTCCACCTCTGTATGCAACATGGGCAGTGAAATTAAGAGCCTTTCTCAAATGGTCTGCAGTAATATCCAAGTCAAATATCAAATGTCCCAATCTAGAGCCATATAAGTAAGGCCTCATATAATCATTGAGAGAACCCTCTTTGTGTCCAAAATGTACTCTGGCATCAAATAAATCCTTCACTGTGAATAAATTGTGAATTTGGAAGTAGTCTTGATGTTCCAGTGGATTTTTTTTAGGTACATCGGTTGCTGTAAAGAAAATAAAAGCAGTAGAAAAAGCTGCATGAGAGGTGTCAATTGTACAAAGACTTATTAAACAGGCAAAATAGCTATATTTTTTTAACACCTCAAATATAAATAAATGAGGTAATACAGACAGATAAATATTGTGACAATTAATTTCTCATTCAACAGGAAATTACTACATACAATAAAATCATAAAGAAGCTGAGTATGTAGTTTTAGTATTTAAAATAAAGTCAGTGCTACATATTGAAGACATGTTACTAAGTTAAAACATCAGTTTTTTGGAAGTCTGTTTGTGCATGCTTATGTCTATAATGGCTAAACTAATTTAAATTTTAATATTTGTTTCATTTCAATTGGTTAACAATTAAAGAATAATTCAATGATATGTCAATGAATTAGAACGATGTGGTGCACTCTCACCATACAATTAGATATACATGAAAACAGTGTGCAACAAAAATACTAGTGGTCAATAGATCTCCAAAAAAATCAGCTCATGCTATTTCTAGCTTTATACTTAAGCCAAAATAAGTGTTTTAAACAAGGAGTTTCCAGTGGGCTTATATTACACTATGACTACCAATAAAATGCAGGTTCAGACGCTGAGAGTGGCTGGTGTGGCTTTCAATATAAGCTGCTTTTCGCACGTCCAGCTCTATGAGGCCCTGTTGCTTGTTAGCAACTCAAGACATCTGTATGTAATAATACCCGATAACTGTACATCCCATATTGTGTATATGCAGTATATGGGAGCATTACTACGAGAAATATGTACGTAATAACCAGCCAAATTTACTTTATTTATATTAGTTGAATACGTAAGTAAGTAGATGTATGAAATCGCGGGCTCTGCTAACAGATATAAAATTATAGAACAAACACTACATGTATACAGATATTTCAAAATGTTACCTTCAGGTAAATTTGGTGATGCGGCTTGAACTTGTGCAGCAGTTGAGGTGCGTCTCAAAAAAGTAAATGCGTTTCTGAGATGGCTGTGTGCTAAAATAACAAATAATTCATATTTTATCAGCTAACCCCTGGAATAGGGTAAAGTACAACATTTCAAGGAATTCTCAGCAAACCACTTACTTAAACTTTTCTGCAACATTGTGAAACTGCTTTGATTTCACATCGGTAATTGCCTAATTCTTTTTGAAAAAAATAAAATAAATGTTTAGAACATTATTAATATTAGAGTAACCTAAAATTTGTAACCTTTTTCACTGTTAAAGTGCAAGACAAAGAAGTAACATAAATTGTAATAACAAGCTATCTCTTTCGCACGATATATCTGTGTTTTAAAAAATAAAGAATAATGGTCCGTCATAGACAAACTCAAAATTTAAAAATAACTTTTCATTGTCTCACGTCAAAAACTGTACTCAATGCTCAAGTAGGATTTGAGTATGATTTCAAGCACTGGAAATCATACTCAAGTCCTTGCCATTAGGGTCGTATTTCCAGTATATAAGTAGTAATCATACTCAAGTCCTGACTTGAGCATTGAGTACAGTTCTGGAGAATACGATCCTCAAGCTTCTTGTCTCAAGTAGTGTGGTGTGTCTGACTTGATCAGATGGTCAGTGGATTAACATCATTAAAACGTCTAAAAAAAACTTGGCTGTATGGCACAAGTAGTGCCTTTGCCTTTTCCAATGGAAAAAACGGAAAAATCGTTACCAAAAAATGAAGTTTGTGGTATGGTATATGTTGTGACCACAAAAAATTCGCCACAGATTACTATATACTAGTCAAATTCGCTCTGGACCTTTTGGAGGGAAAAGTGTCGTTTTTATTTTGACTTTCAATTACTTTGTGAAATCTAGTTTAAAGTGGAATAGAATAGTGCTACTGTGCCTTAATCGAAGATTAAAACGCGAAATTATACGAATCTCGAACTAAAATACCCGTATCAGCCCGTTTTAAGGAATCCCGAGTCAATCCAAACACGCCGCCTCAAATTGCCTATCCTCTTTGTGGCGGCCATATTTACAGAAACATAATTAAACTTCATGTTTAGGCTGATGGCTTTGCCAAAGCCTTAATAAATTAAAAAAAAATTGTGACCACAAATTATTGTGACCAATTTTGTGACGATTAATTTGTAAGATTGCAGTGTGATTTAAAAATATTGTGTATTATTTTGTGAAAATGGCTAAAAAAAATATAGAGGATGTCGATTTATACGCGATACTTGATTTACAAATCACTGCTACAGAATCAGAGGTTAGTTTTGTTTACACTTTTCAAATTATTATTGGTTATTTAAACGCATAGTCTCTCATTACCTCACTGAAAACTATTGTTCAAAACATTTTATATTACATTGAAGATTATTTACCAATCATTTATTGTATTTTTCAGACTGTTATGTATTTGTTATGTCTGAAACAAACATTGATTATTATTGTTATTAATATATATTTTTATATATAATTATATATTTGTTCATCTTGCTTTCAGATCAAAAAGGCTTACCGCAAGAAAGCTTTACAATGCCATCCAGATAAAAACCCTGACGATCCTAAAGCTGCAGAAACATTTCATGAGCTGTCCCGAGCTCTAGAAATATTAACAGATAGTTCAGCCAGAGCTGCATATGATAAAGTATTAAGAGCAAAAGCAGCTGCTAAACTACGTCATCAAGAACTAGATAGCAAGAGGCAAAAACTTAAAGAGGATCTTGAAAGGAGGGAAAGGGAGGCTGTATCAGGAAAAGGATGTAATCTTACTGATGAACAAAAATTAGCAGCAGAAATTCAAAGATTACAGAAAGAGGGCAGTAGACTTTTATTAGAAGAGCAGCAAAGAATGAAAGAAGAAATACAGAAAAGCAAAAACAAGTTCAGCCCTGTGTGGGATCCTAGTTTAAACAGAATAAAGATTAAATGGAAAGTTGACAAGTGTGACACTAATAATGGTGGTTATGATGAAGATATGTTGAGAAAGTTTCTAAAGAAATATGGAGATATCACTGCTTTGATCATGTCACCCAAGAAAAAAGGCAGTGCTTTAGTAGAATTTTCTACAAAGGATGCTTCAGATATGGCCGTTGAATTGGAAAAGGGTATGATGCCTTATTTCATCAAAATGAGCAATACAAATAATCAAATATTTCAATTTTATGACTGCATCAAAAACAATTAATAAATTGTTTCATTTGTTTTATTTTTTTGACAATTGTTTGTTTTTGACACAGTCTTAAAATCACATCTTTTTTTCTTCTTCTTTCCATAAAGGAAAAGGCAAAGGTTTTACAAAGGGTGGAAATTTGTAATGCCACCTGGTGGGAAAGTACTCTAAATACTGGAGATATAAATTTTTACTTAAAGGAAACATTCCTTTATTTTTTAAAAGAAATAAAATTGCATTCATAGATTTCGAAAATTTCTAACAACACGCGGGAATCGAACCCGCTTTAATCTGAAAAAAAAAATGCACCCTGCACTTTTATTGCATCGATCGATAGGGTTAATTATAAGAATAAAATCTCTCTCACAAAATTGGTTAATTAAATGAAAAAAAAAAAAAATACCATGAAATCTTAACGTATTTTAATAAAATGAAAAAAATGATAATCTAACTAATTAGTTGCTCGAAATGAGCTCCATTTTCTTGGATACACAAATTTAATCTTTTAACGAATTCATTTTGGTAACTTTTAATAACGTTAATTAATTATTAATTCATTAATAATAATAACGCACACACTCAACATAGCCCCGCACTAGGGACCCCTGTGTCGCGGGTGCCATGGACACACACATAGACAACCACAAATTACACCCAAACTCACGGGAGAAATAAACGTAGGCCATACACAGTTCGGCACGGTAACCGTTCGGCCACGGAGGCAGTTGAAACGTGTTGTGATGAATTACATTACAGATCGTATTCTGAACCTCAGCCTTCAACTCGTTTACACTCGCATAGGATTTAAGGTAAATTTGATTTTTAACATATCTTCACTAAAAAAATCTAAAGGGGTGAGATCTGGTGATCTCGCAGGCCATCTGATTGTGCCGTTTGTACTAATCCAGGTATTAAAATGGTTACTAATGTAGGCGGTAGTGACTCTGCTGTTATGGGCTGGAGCGCTTCTTCTTCTCTTGCTGCAGAATTATTCGATTTCGCTCTCCCTCGGATAAAACATTTAATTGATTTCTTAAGAGATCCCGTATTTCAAGATACTTGACAGCGTTCAAATGACCTTTGTACACGTGGACTAACACAACCATATTTCTCATAATTCCGCACCAAACGTTGAAAGAGAATCTTACTTGATTGTTAGTTTTATGAACACGAACAGGATTCACTCGAGACCAATAATGGTTATTGCGGCGGTTGTACATGCCGTTATTACTGAAGTTGGTTTCGTCAGACCACACAATGTTACTCAAAAAATTCGGGTTACGGCCAACTTCTCTTAGCATGTTTTGACAAAATTGAAGTCGTCTCTCACAATCCCCAGGATGCAATTTTTGCACCAACCGGTCGTCACGATAACATTTATACTTGTACTTTTTAAGCACTTGGAGTACGCGAGTGTGGTTCGTTTCAATATCTTCTGCAGCATCTCCGCTTGAAGCCTTTGGAAATGCTTCGAAGTATATTAAAATATTAAGATCGAATTCGGAATAATTCTGTTGAGGAGTTTGCCGTCGCTTTTCATAGCTACGCGTACCTATTTTTTAAATTATTTACCATTCTTTTCAGAACGAATCGAGTTGGTGCTTGTCGATCCCGATATCTCTCTTCACACCACCGCAGAACTAAATTCACATTTTTGTTATTTAAAAAATAACCTTGCATGAAATCAAATTGTCCTTGATATGCCATTTTTACGATGAGATAAATATGAAATTTATTTATTTATAGGAATACTATTAGTACTTCTTAGAAAGGATAGGTATGTAAAAACAATCAAATGGAAATAACAAAAGACAATCCATTTTCAAATGAAACATTCCATATTTAAATTACCTCATGCCACTGACCAAGCACTGTGTCTGCATTACAACATGTGCAAATTGCAATCTTAACTAAATAGTACTTGGTCATTTTAATGGATAAATGACGTCAACGATAATTAACAAGTAATCTGATGGACCTTTGAGTAAAAGTGCTTTAACTTGACCCATTGAATTCATAACTCCAGATTTCATGGTTTGTAAGAGAGATTTCATCCTCATAATTGACCCTATCGATTGATTTAATAAAAGTACAGGGTGCATTTTTTTAAAGATTTTAGCGGGTTCGATTCCCGCGTGTGGCTAGCAATTTTCGAAAATCTTTGAATGCAGTATTATTTCTTTTAAAAATAAAGGAATCTTTCCTTTAAGTAAAAATTTCTATCTCCAGTATTTGACGTACTTTCCTTCCAAGTGGCATTGCAAATTTCCACCCTGTATATATAAATATATATATATTTTATTAGTTGTATTTTAAATGCATTTAACAAACGTGAATATTTACTAATTATATTATACATATACTTTTAAGTATTATTTATTCAATTTGTTTTATACAATACGTAAATAAACACTTAGATTAATAATAAAAAAAATAAAATAATAGTGATTATGACCAATACGACTAATTTGGTTTTAACTGGTGGAAATGCAAACAATAAGAAGTACACAGTACAGTATAACGATATGTAATTTGCGCGAGGTTAAATAAATATACATTGAAATAAGTTGTAGTTTATTAACTAAATTGTTAACAATAAAAAGCGTCAACATCTAAATAGCTAGAACATGTAGTTTAATTGGAGTAGTATTTTCTTATTGAAGCATGAGTTCGTCATCACGAGGGCAAATATTTGCGATATATTCTGGATCAGTGGTGGTTTTATTTTCTTTGTTTTCTATTTTCTTTAAAACAAAACTGCAGCAAGCGGGGGTGGGCGGAAAATGCAATGCAGTATAGTTTCATTTTCAATAAAGTGGGTAAAGACGTACCCACTTTATTTAGTAGTAGTGTCTCGCAGTGCAGCGCGGCGCAGCCTGACGTCACCAGCTTGTGCCACCATGGGCACTTCAAAGTGTGACCAAGGGCCTTACCATGAACTCTCTTTACAGTTCAGTATAGGTTTGTAACGACAAGGAAGCAGGATGGTGATTTTTTTTATTTTTTATTGTGACTCGGCAAAATGACTGCACCGCGCCTGATGGAAAGTGCGAATACAGTCCAGAGATGAGAGTAACGGATGGAAAACACAAATATCTTCACTCCGTCACTATCATTTTGCCGGTCTGGCCAAATGCTTCTTCACACTACGTTTGAAGGACCCGATGTTATAGAGGGGAGGGAATACATGCGCCGGGAGTTGGTTCCACAATTTGATGGTTCGGCATAAAAACGAATTGCCAAACTTTTTAGTGCGGGACGGTATTGAACTGACCGTTGATATACACTTCATGTAGCGCTGTCTCACAACGTTTCAGTTTATGTTATAAACTGAATCGTAATAAGAGTTCATGGTCCATACCCTAGGCTTCTCAACAATAACGTATTTCTTTGAAAGGCAAACATTGGCTGAGCGACGTCGGACTGCTTAGGGCGAACTTGCAAATAGCAATACAATATAGAACTTTATATGTGCTAAATAAAGTGAATATTTCTTCTCACGGGAATCTACTTTATGAATGAAAGGTGGTCGTGTTTTAAGCGATTTGTAGATTTTACATACAAATAATATATAAGTACATAATATAATAGTCCAAATAAGACGATCTTGGTGGCCCAACAGTTTCTATTGTTGCACTGCACGAGAAGGTTCCAAGTTCGATTCCCGGCAGAACCAATTAGGGAAATGAACTTTTCTAAAATGGTTTTAGCCTGGTGTTTTGGATAGTGTCACTGAGGGAATTCCGTAACTATTGGTCCCGGGTTCGTTTCCCGGTAGAATCAATTTCGGAAGTGAACTTTTCGAAAGTGGTTTTGGCCTAGATGTTCTGGGTAGTGCCGTGGAGTGAATTCCGTAGCTCTTGGTCCCGGGTGCGATTTCCGGTAAAACCAATTTGAGAAATGTACTTTTGGTTGTTCTGTTGCCAACCACCTGGTCTCTAACTAGGAAACTCCCTGTACTCCTTATGAGTACCAGAGCAACTGAATTCAAACATGGGCATTACCAGATCACCCAGACCAGACCCAAGTTCAGAAAGTTCATTTCCCAAATTTGTTTTATCGGGAATCGAACCCGAGACCAAGGCCAACGGAATTCACTCCGCGGCACTACCCATGACACCAAGGCGAAAACCATTTTAGAAAAGTTAATTTCCTAATTTGGTCCTATTGGGATACGAACCTGGAACCTTCTCATCTAGTGCCATATTATTTGCATGTATAATGTACAAATTCCACGCTTCACCTTAGATTTATTTTAATATCTATATTGTCTAGTCTTTGGTAGTTATTAAAAGATTCAATGTAAATATAACGAAATAACTAATTTATAAAATCTAAAATATAAATACAAACTCAAATGTATATATACAAACTAAATGTAACACAAATAAAAGTCAAATTGATTAAAAACAACAACTTTTTGTGCTATAAACCCGCTCAAATACACACGCGTAGTCTATCCATTGCAAAGCCTGAAACGCGACTGAGCGTAGTACTGCGCAATGCGCAGAGCTCGCGGGTGGAAAGGAATTATTTTTTTCAAATAATAACACTTAACTTATGAACTATAGAAGTTAAAAAAAAAGTGAACAATACATTCTATCCGAAATTAAATTATCTATTTTTTCGTGTAAAATTTATAAACAGATGTTTGCATGTAAAGAGAAATTGCTTTTTATTCCATTGTAACTTTAAATTTTATTTCGTAGAAATGTGCTTAATAAATTATAATTTTGCTCAATACAATCAATTATTTAAGGACTACTAGCAATCATATATTTTTTTGTGATTATTGGACTATTATTATCATCAAGAATTAATTTTAAAAGAGCCTAATTTATCAATTTGGCTCCTGTTCCAGCGTTAAATAAGTTTCTCCTTGAGAGTAATGATTATAGTAACTAATTGAACACAGTTGAAAACGATATGTTGGAAATCGATTGTTTCTTCTGTACCATATGGACATTTATCATTTCTAAACTTTGTGTCGCCTAAGTCAAATATTTTTCCCGACATTTAGGTTTTTACTTATTGCGCTCTTTACAAAAATCAACATGCGAAAAATTGTATTATTTGGAAATTCTGTTACAGGGCTCCCAGACAATCCATTGACATTAAAATGGGTGAATGAAAGACCAGTATTAACAACAAAGAAAAATGCAGCAGGACCTTCATTGGTCTGTGACAGAGATTATGAATCTGTAGTCTTAATGAAAATGAGACAAGCTGCTGAAAGACAGCGGTTAATAGAAGAAATGATGAAGGAAGAACAAGATTAATAATTAAGATAGAAATAAAAAAATATTTTACATTCGAAACCAATTTTATTTCTTAATAATGTAAACAGATATCTATTTAACAGAATAAATTTAGAAGACTGAAGTATACATAATAGTGCCTGGAGTCAATCCTTGCTCTTCACAAGACCTTCAAATGATTTCCACTCTTTTATAAATTCTATAACTTTCTTTCTCTGTAAATCTCCATATTCTTTCCGAGGGTTCTTCCATAATTGGTGATCTAAGTCTAATATACCACCAATTACTTCCTGAAAACGAAATTTAACAGATAGTATATATATATATATATGATACCAAATGATGGGGCGAACAAATCATGCGCCCTAGTGATAAGCGACATGCCTATCTATAACAGTTTCTGTGCCACTCAGAGGTTTAAATTGCAAGGATCTTGGGGGCACTGCCACTGTGCCTGTCACCCTGAGACATAAGTTGACAAGTCCCATATGCCTGCAATTTCACCAGCACCCTTATTCTTCCAAACCTGAATTCAGTAATGCTTACATAACTGCTTGGCAGCACAATAGGTAAGGTGGCAGTACTTCCCTGGATGAACTCTTTCATAAGCTCTACTGCTACTAAAATATGCAATAGGTGTATATTAACAATATACACATACCTCAGCAAAATTTGTGGGAAACAGTTGTTGGTCTTCTATGACATGGGCAAATCCAGGCTCCATTCCAAAGTCAATCCAAAAGTAAGGTAAACCTTTAGGTATACCCTTCCTAATATTTTTTCCCTTCAATTCTACAACTTTCTTATTCATAGACCATTCAGCCTCACACTCAAGAAGAGCTTTCTTGAAGTATATGGCTGCCACATCACCAACATCTCTGGGCATTGGTATACAGTTTATTACCATATGTGGAAATTTGTGTAACCTTATAGCAGTTTCAAAAAACAATACATCTTGATGTTGGGTGTTGAAGAACTGTGTTAGGGCTTTCCTAAAAGTCTGAAACAGATAATAAAAAGATTATTACTAAAATATTATATACTGTTCTAGTATATACTAGATGTATATAGATACCGATGTATTAATTTAATAATTTACCAAAATTTCTTCCCAGACATCTTCATCAATTGTGGTAACACTTGTAGCATGTTGTACAGTGGTTATAATACAATGCCCTTTTACAAGGGACTGTTTGGCTGGGAGACCCAGGTAAACTTTATTACCACAAGTTACCATCAAATGTTTCAACATATTTCTTGAATCAACACAGTATTCACATCCTTCTAAAGATTTCTCCATGTTAATATGTTGATTGATTGCCCGTTGTCTTTGTAATTCTTGATCCTTAGCATCGTTTTTGTTTTTAGATATTTCATCAACAAATATATCTTCAAGATCATCATTTGGATTTTTGCTTTTAGCTGCAACTCTTGCCAGTTCAGCTTCATCATCATAGTTGTTGCCATATTTCTCTTGCTGAAACTGAATTAGTAAATCATCATTAATTAGTAGTTTCATTGATAATTGTCATTAAAATACAAAACCAATTTTTCACAAAACTTACCATTTGTGATAGATTATATTTATCATCATTACCAAAGTATTTAGCTCTTTGGCCGTCCATATGTGTATCTACTTTCCTTTTTCCTCCTTTACTTCTAGGATCACCTCTTTCTCTCTTAGTCAGTGGCATACTGCTCCCAGCACTGTTTGTAGCTATCAACATTACACCTTCTTCCTCTTTGCTGGCATCTGGATTCTGCTTCCTGTATTTTCTGGCAGCTTCTAATTTTGCTTTCAGTTCTTCAACAAGCTTAGTATCACCCAAAATTTCTGCTTTAACAATTTTAGCTCCAAGTTTGTTCATTTTCTCATCACTGAGATACTTTGTGTCTTTTGGTTTATCTGCCTCAATAGATTTACTTGGTCCTGCATCCAGTGATGTATGTCTTGTTTCTTGTCTTGGTTGTTCTTCCTTCTCTTTCGGTTTCTCAGAACTCTGTTTCCAGTTCCATGATCTTTCATGATTGTAGGCTTCGTCCTCATGCCTACCCCTACTTGTGAATTCTCTGTCAGAATGCCTATCATGCCTCGATGATTTTCTACCATCTCTGTCACTACTGAAACAGCTACTCTCTCTAGAACCTGATGGTTTTTTGTAAAAATCGTCTTGGTTTGATGGTTTTACAAATGCTCGTTTTCTAAAATTCTCTGCAGTTTCGGGGACGCCTGTGCCTCCGTTTTTCCAGTAAGGGTTAAGTTCTCTACTACTTGTACCTGGATTATATGAATCTATGTGTTTTTTGTCTTCTACTCCCCGTTTAGGTTTGATATCGTCCTTTGTGTAGGTCTTCAGCATGCCTGTCATCGACATCCAATCTTCGCGTACAGTTAAGGGTGGTGGTCGTTTTTCTATTTCCTTTTCTACCCATTCATCCGACTCTGAAGTGCTCGAGCTTGAGGACTGAAATGCGTAGAATTTAAGTTAATGGCATACAAATAAATACATGATATTTTCGTATTCATAGCAGCTATAATGAATGTTGAATAAGCTGCGATGTTCTATTAACTTTAAATGATATCTGTACACAGAAAGCAACTCACGTTCCGATGTTTACGTTTCTTTTGGCGAGAATCTTTTTCCAGTTTGTGTTTTCTATGCTTACTTTTTTCCTTCATCATGGTAAATCACGAACAGTAGCAAAAACAACCCTAACGTTGAATTTTAGTTTCCATAGTCTAAGCTACAGTCACAGAATCGCAAAGTACTTTGTGGTCACAGAACACTATACTACTTTACTGACTACTCCCTAC